CCTGGAACCGAGGAAAAACAAATGTTCGTCGCACTGGGGAAAGAGTTTGATATGTAAGGAAACTGAGTGAATTATCTAACAATGATTCTTTACATCCCGTGGTTAAATATGTTTTAAAAACACTAAATCCGCTTGCATAGTATGCTGGCAGGTTGGACCTGTAGATATGAGGTGACTGGAGTTTAAAAAAAAACTGTCTGGAATTATTAGCGACAGAGGAAGATTTTTTAGAGGCGATGTCCGTCGCGCTACGAACCTCGTTGTATAAGAGGGACTGCTCGTAGTCCAGTTCGCGAATACTCATCAATACTTCGAGAACAAAGGCACTGTAATAATTTCCTTTAATAGCAGCCTAAAATAAGAACCAAACAGAATGACTCTGGTCATACCTCGAATTCAGACCCGGAGTCAAGCTGCAAACCATTTGGTCACTGCACATGATCACACCGCTGACTGACTATTGCAAAACCAGACTTATAAAAACTTATTTTAACTTGCATCAAGACCATGTAATGTTAACCAACTTCAGTGGCCCAACTGTAGACATGTCCGTCAGGATTTATCACCAGCACAACCACAAAGTCCATTTTATCTTGCAGTACTGTAACTTTGTAGTCTTGGCCGAAGCTTTGTGTCAGCTAAAAAGAATCAAAATCGCATGAAATAGCTAAAGAGCATTCCGTAGATGACTTCGATGGGAAGATGTGAAACTTCATATCATTGTGAGAAGCTACTAGAGCCAAGAAATTATTTATAATCTACCCAGTTACCAGAGCTTAATCAAATTGCTGAATTTATTCTATTACGTGGGTTTCGCGTAGAATTTGTCACGTTCCTCTCCCAGTTTCCCCACAGAGTCTCTCTTATTTCTATAACCAGTCCCTTACGTGAGTTTCTCTTAGTATTTCACAAGATTTTGTTAAAGTTAGCACATGGCAGAGTTACGTGTCATATTCTGGAACATGAAGATCAAACTCAGGGTATTTCTTACCCATCTCACCCTCAGGATCGACCAGCAAGAAATTTTTATACAAAATATCAGTTAGGATATTTTTTTATTATTATTATTATTCAACATTTTCAAGGCTATTTGAAAGCTATCAAAGGTAGTGAAGGAAACTGCTATTTTTATCATGTAAGTAAACAGATTAATCTGGATTCCGAAACGTTATCTGTCAGACCACCGCTTCTCTTAGCCCTTTGACTCCTGAGAGAGATTGGGAACTATTTTCTGCTGTCAGTATCACCCCTATAAAAAAACCCGTGAGGTCCTGAGAATAAAGGAAATGATCACCAACTAAAGAAGCTCTTGATTTTTAAACAAATTCCCTTTGACAGAACCATAGGAAATGTATATGAAATCTTGATTTCTCATCCTCTAGCGCATAGTATATGAGCTGCAGCAGCATCTTATTTATACGCCAACCATAATATGAACTAATTTACGAGTTCAAAGTTTAGAACTGTTGCCTTTCATTACATTAATGTCATCTTTTAAACCTCATTTTTCGCAATTAAATCAGTTACCATGTACCTCATCAAGAGTATGTTACCTTTTGTGCCAATCGAGATCTTTCACACGGAAACATGAAGGTAAATAATAACAAGCTGGAGAAGAACACAAGAGGTGATTCGTGTGCAAAGGGAGAAGTCGAACTTTGCGCAAGGACTTGCCTGTGCTTCTCATCTCGCACTTGCCTCCGCTTAGCTAAAAAAGCCGCATAAAAGCAAGAAAGCATAAAGCTTCCAGATCCTACCTCTGCGTGAGCGAAATTTGGTGGAAGGTAACGATGGAAAACAAAACCAGCAGCGTGCTTATGTCTTCCCTAAGAGCTGATATCCTTCAACACTCACTCTTAACTCCAGCATCAAGGCCTACTAATTGTGAATGATTCAAGCGTGATGGAATTATGTGATAACTGGTAATTTTTTTTGTATAGAAAGCATTTCTGGATAAACAAGGAGAGAAAATAGAACGAACAGCTGTGTTAACAAAGTTGTTAGCATTAACTGATTATGTTTAGAAAAATAATTTGAGAGGTTATTTTCTTTCTGAGGTAGTGGAAAATTGAATTACACTGGTTCTACCGTTACTCAATTATTCCCCATAAAAGTGGCCTTTGCCCAAAATGACAAGTTAGACCTTGACTTCCTTGCGCTTCGATTTAAAAGTTGATTGTTTTTTATAGGGTTTTCGTATTCTAAAACTTTGTAAGTGGAGTTATAGATACCGGATATGTGACTTGTAAACGGTGGAAACACGAAGGAACAGTTTAGTCTAGATCGCGTGACAAGGCTTTACAAGAGCTATAGCTTACGCCAGCCTTTTTCCGTGGGCTAGAAGAATCATTGAAAATTGGAAACGGTGCAAAAGGTAAACTTGATTAAACGTAAAATATTCTGTAATATTTGTTGGATGGAAATACCATATGACCTAAAGATCATTTTTTTATGTCACAAACAAGCTTACATTTCGAAACTGTGTTGAAATAGCTGCGTTATGCCTACAAATTCTAATATAATATTCTCAAATAATCGAGATAAAAAGTACTAAGGTGAAACAATATTTTTGCAAGCCATGACATAAAATATAGGTCAAATTACATCATTATAAAATAAACATTGAAAAAAATAGCTGTTTCATAGCAGTATATTCAGTTGATACCGTCAGCTTCGGACGTGAGGAATCTGGCACTAGCCACATCACGCATTGCATGTTGGTTTAACTTACAAACATGGCGGACGGATGATGTGAACATGTGAACGTTTGAGTTGTAAAGAGCAGGTCATCTTAATAATTTTGTAGATTAAAACTCCCAGCATGGGCAAAGAAAAGGCAGGAGCATTAACACCAAAAGCCATATCGAATAGGATTAAAGCTAAAGGTTTGCAGAAGCTGCGATGGTATTGTCAAATGTGTCAGAAACAATGCCGAGATGAGGTATAGTTATGTTCTGTGAAGTCAATTCTGGAATTTTTAAAGTCGACATAGATACTTGTGAACCGAATAAAAGTTCATGTACCTCTCCTTAACTTTTTCTTGAGAAAGAATGGATTCAAGTGCCACACTATGTCGGAATCACACCAACGCCAGCTTCTGCTATTAGCAGAAGATGTCGACAAGTACATGGATACTTTCTCCAAGTAGGCGAATTTTCACTTTTATTGATAATTATACATGTAGGCTTAGTACTGTGTCCGTGATTATTATAATTTAGGCAAAAATACAGAGTACAGGGTTACTTATTTACATATCATTGAATCAAAAGCAGGCGTTATAAATATTTCTTGTTTATCGATGACAGCTAACAATGCCTACCTCAGTGGCCTTGGACAATGTTATTCTAAGATTACCACACAGCCCCATATTTACTGAAAGTGCGAAGATTGAAAAATTCCTTTTCATGATTAATTATTGTGTTTCACTGGTGGCAGGTTTAAGAGAATATTGACACAAGTTCTTTATGTTTTCAATTGTCAGGGAGTTCCAAGATACTTTTCTAAAGCTTTTGAAGAGACAGTTTGGTATGTGATGTGGTGTTACCGTATTTTACACTTTTCTCTTGTTTGTCGTGGCTAACTTCTATCACTTGGTCAAATTTTCTAAACGATTAGTCTCTGAAATACACTCCTATTCCTATTCAGAAGTGAAAAGAGGCTGAGTGTAACTAAGCAAAGTTTTTCAACCAAGAGCAGCAACATCTTTATAATAAATGTTGTCGTTCATCTTGGTTTAATTGGTAGTAAAATGAAAATTAAATCGTTTTTCACGTGATGTAGAGTCAGGCTATCTATTATATTCATCCCGACATTTCAAATGCTATATTGATAGTCTTTGTTGGGTGATGAGGCCAAAAGTTTATGTGTTGCTATTTATAGCACCTTGGTTTCCTGTTTTTGGTGTGTTTTGGAGCACTGTCAATGGTGTATTTTGTATTTGTATTTTGATCTTGTTTGTTACTCATCCACGTTTGTTCTTGTATCTGCCCTCAATGGTCCATGGTGTTTCATGTTATACACCTGCAGTTCAACAGAAACGAACAACAAAAACATCAACAAAAACATTTATTTTGTATTGTCACTTACTTAAGACTTGAAAATCAGACAAAGCATTAGAGAATATTAACTTCAATAGTTGGATTACTGGATTAATTGGAACATTACAGATTATGACATGTATTATGTAACAGTTAACCCTTCAATTCCAAAGATCTGATTGTCAATTCTCCCCTTTAGCTGTTACACATTTGCTTCAAAATTAGTTACAAGAATTTGGTTTTGGATCACGATAAAATCTTTTACAGTGTACCTTTTAAGTTTAAATATTCTCTTTACCTGTATCCTGAATAATGTGTGCATATTATAAGGAGAAGTTACATGTGAATCACCTCTGGGAGTAATAAAGCTTTGAAAAGAGAGGTGACACTCAGAGCAGGGGATGATAGAAGATACAAATTTATCTTTACAGTGAACTCTCATCCAAGCTTGTATGGGTCACCATTTGATGTTGTTGATAACCAGAACTCTGCACTGTAGGTTTTCTTGAATACACTTAAACTACAAAGTATGCAATACCATGGACCATCACGGTGGATGAATAAATTTTTTATTGGAGAGGGGTTTTAAACTTTGATTCAGAAAACACAGAATTTTTTTCTGTATTAGGGAGCTTTCACAAGCTAAGAAATATTTCCAAAACATTTTTTCACGTAATCCTGTCATTGCAAGAATTTTGGTTTCAAAGAAGTGGTAAAATAAAAGAAAGAAAAAAAAACAGTTCAAATGTGAAGACCATACCCCAACCTTTACCCCTTCCATCAGTAACAAATAAAACTTTATTTCTTGCAACACTTGTTTTTTTTAGGAACTCGTAGAGTGAGGGCTAATCAAGTTTATCAGGATTACATCAGTGACAGGCATCATACTCACATGAATGCAACTCAGGTTAGTGTAGGACTTTGTTGACTACAGAAAAAGTCTTGGTTTTTTTGTCTCATGCTTATCACAAATGAATCAATATTTCATTGTTATCTGTATTTGATTATTAGATATTTAACAATTATGCCTTTGCATGTTTTATTTTTTATTTTATTACAGTATGATTTGATTAATGCTAAACATGTTTTTTTTTCTTTTTTAGTGGGAAACTCTAACTGAATTTGTAAAGTGGCTGGGGAAGGAAGGTAAGTTATGTGTTATTCACTGTTATGCACAAAGCTTAAGTTATTGCTAAATGTAATGTGAACTGATTTAATCCTCTAACCCTGAGGAGTGATGAACAATTTTTATTACTATTAAAAACAAGCGAACCTAACTAACTTTGATTGTTAAACTAATTCTCCTGGTCAGTACCAAAGATTATGTATAGAAGAGAGCATGGGGAATATGGATACTGATGTTAGAGTGTAAAGTGATTTTCATCTCCTTATAATTGCTTTTTTTTTTCAATTAGGACACTGCAAGGTAGATGAAACAGAAAAAGGGTGGTTTATTGCATACATCGACAGGGATCCTGACACCATAGAGAGGCAAAAGGTACATATGGTAGAGCCCAAAATTTTATTGTTATCACTGTATAAAAGGGTTAAGTTTGTTAATAAACTGTGGTGCTGCATTGGTGGGAGAGTATAAAATAGTAATTTGGTTTTATCAACTGAGTTAAAAACGTAAATTAGCCACTGTAAAGAAATTCAAAGCTGACATTTCAAGTGTTAGCCGTTTGCCATTTGCTCTGACAAAGGGCTAAGGGTAAAAAGTGTCAGCTTTGGAACTCTTTACAGTTGCTAATTTAGGTTTACTTATCTACTCAGGTGATGAAACCAAATTACCCTGTTACAAACTTTAAGAGCAGATGGATTAAAGAGCGCAAAGAAAACCATCATCAACTGTTTGATAGGATCCAGTAGTTAATGTCATCATTATCCTTTCAATAGAATTTTAAATCTTAATTGCTTGGGTGCAAATGGAAAGGTAGTACATGTACTTGTTACTTTATATTTAGGCAGCTGCGGCTAAAGAAAAGATGGAGATGGATGATGAGGAAAGACGAAGTAAGTTTCCTTGGTGCTAAAGTTTTAAGATGTGATATGTAAATAAAGAACATTTTAATTTGATTTCAGTGAAACTCATCACCTCTTTCATCACTTCTGCTACTAGTGTTTCTAGGGATTTGATGGGGTGTGCTTGCATCTGATGTTTTTTCTTCCATTTAGATTTTGATTTCACCAACCGAATTTACAATATTTCAGACCTGCAAACATGAATGTTTCAGAGAGTATGCACAGAGATTTTATTTTAATTGTACATGGCAAACATATTATATTTAATGCATCTGACCAATAAGCAAATTTATTTACTGTTCAACAGCTAAGCTTCTTGAAAGGCAAATTGAAAGAGAAAGAGCAAGGAAAGTAGATGAGGTTTGTCTTGAACAAAAATGTCTTCTTAATTTCAATAGTGTCTTTCAAACCCTTAGTAAATACACATTTTTTTATAGTATTTGTTTGTTTTGTTTAGCCAGAACCAGTCTTCACAGAGCTCAAACGAGACAAGGAAGAAGAAAAAGGTTTGCCAGATTGATTGTCAGTTATCTAGTGCTACACATTTCCTTGTTCCTTGTCATTTTTAGTGATAACTTCTACCTGATAAGTTTGCAGATTCTCATTGCCTGTTTGTTGGATAATGTATGGGTATTGTATGGAGAAGTTGCATGTTATTGATTAACTTAATCACTTCTGGGAGTTCAAGGGTTAACCATTCATACCCTGGCATCAATAAGCCTATTCTCAATACTGTTCTCTACACAAATCTTAAGGTGCTGATAAGGAGATTAAGCTTCTTAATAGTTGGTGATCATTTCCCTTATTCTTGTTACCTTAGTATTTGATTTAGGGGTGATCATGTAAGGAGAATTTAAAAGCTTGTTCCTCTTAGGGGTTA